AGAGTCCCTAATGATCTCATTGTGTTGATATTGCAACAGATTGCAATTGGATGGCTGGGAGAGGGCAAAGGGGAGTGTAAAGTGCTCCCTGCACATTGGGAGTGAAGCAAGCAGCAGTGCTGCCCCATCAGCACTGTGCTTACCTCAGAAGTCATCCTTCCCATACCAACACCAATTCTGTTCTTTGTCAGATCAGTTTCCAGTACATCAGAAGCATAAAATGTTACCAGAAGTTGTTGCCACCTCCAGTAGCACTTGGTATCTCCAGCTGACCTTAGTCTCAATAATGGCTGCAGAGCAAGTGAATTCAACTCAGTCTGATGAGTAGCAGCTGTTACACAGCTTTAGGTACCAGATTTACTAGTTTTCCTCCTCCAGCTGATAGAGCTGAACACTGAAAGGGCCAGCCTATAGCCAGAAGTCCCCCAAATCTTCTGTTTCTCGTGTAACAGTCTTTTAGGGAGAAAGAAAGCTTTAAATGTAAAATCAATTTGTTCTTTTATTTTCAGTCAGTTTTCAGTCCATGTACATGAAGTGATGCATATGCATGTACCTCTCCAGCAAGATCTTTTTTCCCAGAACTTTGCAATGAAAATCTGTGAAACCTCTTTCCAACCTTTATCAGGTTTTCAGTGTATCAGGCAAGGTGAAAAACAATAGTACGACCAAAAATTATATGCAGATGGTTTGTTCCCCATAGCTCATGTCTTCCAACCTCAGTGGTTGCATTTTCACGTAAGTCTAGAGATACATCTGCTGGCTATTTTAAAGCTTCTGTACCATTTTACTTAGGAGACAGAACCAGACATTAGAATTTTTCGTGACAGTTCTCAAGCACAAAAAATATACGAACAAAGATTTCAAAACATAGGTACAAAAGGAGAGATGAGAAACATACAATCATGCCTGGCACCTAATAAGTTCTTCTAATCACCATATTTTATTATCTTCAACGACAAATCTTCAAAGTGCTTTTGTTGCTGCAGGAGATAGAATGCATATGGGCTGCTGCTTTTTTTTTTTCCAAGAATCCTGAAAGTTGATCTATTTTGATAGTAAATGAAGTTGTCTACAGGTTTGTGAAATGTGTGGTTTGGTTAGATTTTAGAGGTTCTCTGAGCTGTTTAATGTATTAATATTAAGCTATTTTTAAAAGAGTATTTTTTTAATAAATCTGTCATATTCCACGTTATGTTGTTTGCTAAAGATTTCATATACATATATCTGTACTTAAATACATTTGGAATCTTGTATAAAGGACTAATCCAGAATTTTTGGCGAAGTCTCTATTCAGGTGGAAAATGCCAGAGAGATTTTGTGTTGAACAACCCAAATAAATGCCAGTGAAATCTCTATCTCATAACGTACCGTTATGTATTTTGTTCTAAACTTATTTATAGGAACTATCTCAGAATTTGGCAAAATTTCTGAGTTTTTAAAATTATGTTGTTTTTCATATGCCTCCAGTCTCCCACATGCAGAGTCATTTTTCCTTCGTTCTTGAACCCAACTGTTCTGTGAAACTACTGCCTTCTTACTCAGGATATTGGCTTCCTGTCTGTGCTTACAGGGAAAAAGATTATGATCTTGAGAGTTGTGCAGAACCACAAATCTGGGGAGTGCAGGGTTTGAGATATACTCTTTCCTACTTGGAACTTCAGAAGCAGGATCTTTCCAACTCATAAGACTGTTATGCATTAATAAGACAGGAATTTCAACAGCTGAAGTGAATGAAATCTGAATCTGTCCTAGAATAAGCAGTTTTGGCATATTCTTATGCCTTTAATTCTGAGACATTTTCCTTCTAACTTTTTCTATAGACTTAAGAAACTACAATATCACAAAGTCTCATGTTTTCTGTAGAAAAACATAATAAGCCTAACAGAGATTGCTGTCCCATACTTCCTATTGTAAGAACCTGTTTTGTATGTAAGCATATTGAAGTTAAATCTCTGGACTCAAATTCTCTAGATATCTACTAGGATTTTTTTTTTTTTGGCAGAAGTTTCAGCTAATGTAGCTCCACTATTTTTAAGGATGAAATAATGTGAAAAGACAGTCTTGCATTCATATTAATTTTAATTACATTTACCATGTCATCTCTACAAAGTTAATTGAGATTACATTTGGCCCAGTTTATAATAGATGGAAGCTAAGAGCAGGGAGAGAATTTCTCCTCTTTTTTCTACTCTGCTGCGAAAGGAATTTAATATTCCTTCACTCTCAATGTAGGAGCCTATAGAAGGAGACTGGAAGAGCACAAGAGAAGTAGTCAGGTAAAAAGATAATCAGGGACTAGGATTAAGGGGAGAATGGGAGCAGATACAAGGGAGACAGGACTGTTGGGGACTTACTGTTTCTTTCTCTTCACAGGTATTTCTGCAGACCAAACAGCAGCTTTCTAATACTATGAGTTTATTCCTCTGTGTTAACCAATGGTGGATTATACCGAGTATCTACATTTTCCTGTTTGCTTTTGTGGAAAGATGAAAAGTTAGTTTAGTCCCATGGCAGGCAACAATAAAGTCAGTTTTACAGGAGGGATGAGTATCTGCTACTGTTGACACTTAATGTTGACAAAGCAAAAGCTCCAAGACCTGAGCACATTAAAAGACCAAGTTGTTGCCCTATTGAACTAGGAACAATGAGGCAACATGAATTCCAGGCTTTCCTGAGTTTTAAATACTTGATTTTGTAACCTTGACATAGCTTTAAAAAATACATTAAATTATATATAAGGAAAAAAATAGCAAAGAATTAATAAAGTAATGCTTTTTTTGCTAGGCAGCAGCTATGTGCAAATTGACAGAATTTTTCCTGTGCCTGCTAGTTTAATTGAGTTTTAAACATTTCAGTATTTGAAGCTGGATGCCAAGGTTACTGACACCAGTAAACAGTGATGAGTACACCATGATTGTGTGTAAACATCATGCAATGATGAAAGGTGAAATCTGAAAAACAGTGAAGTGAAATGAAATTAAAGCTGCAAGCAAAATAGCTACATTTATTAAAATGAATGAAAATGTGTAGCCTTTGTTTTGGACTGGATTCTCAGTTTCCTTAAATCCATTTATGCTAGCTATTTCCAGTATCTGGAGAATCTAGCCCAAAATGGAAGGCTTTTTTCATGAGTTCTTCCTCTTAAGTTTACAGCCTCCTTTAGGTTATTTAAAAGAGAAAGGCAGAAAGGGGAAATTATATTTTGTATGTGTTTACTAGGGAGATGAAGGGGATATTAACCCCACCTCATCACTATCACTATTTGCACAGTCTGTGCTGCATGCACTCTCATCGTGTGATCTGCTTAAACCAGCATGATTGCACAGCTTCTCCCTTTAGAGCAGGTCTCTGCCTGCCCTGTTCTGAATACTGTATGAAGATTCTTTCAGGGTATGATCTGCAGACTCCTAGTCTTAAATCATACCACTTACTGTGAAATATAATTTTAAATATAGTAGCTTTGCAAGGTTTCCATGACTGCCTTAAAAAGACATCTCCCAGATTTTTCAGGGTACTTTGCGGAGCAGCACTTGAGAGTCCTCAGAAGTACCCCTGTAAACTAATCAGTCCATCTGAAAAGAGTGAAGATTTAGCAGCTGAACAGGGTGAAGTATTGCATATTCCAATGTGCTTTTTGAAAGAAATTCATGCTGCTTTGGGACAGGAGATTTGATATTCAGAAAGAATTTATATCCTTTATTAGAGCCCTGACTCAGCAAAGTATTTAAGCATGTTCTGTTATGCTCCTATTAGCTTTTCATTTTGCTGCTTCTTAAGAGCTGTAGTGAGTCAGAAGCAGCAAGCCAAATGGAAAGGGAGAGATGTTTTCATGGATTTGCTCACATAAAACCTGTTTCATGATGAATTAAATTAGTACGAATAATAAGAATTTTTACTTCTAGCAAATTAGTGTCATGAGACTCCAACAGGGCTAAGAGATCAATACAGATCATCTGATTTTTGCAGGTTTCGTTTTCAACTCTAATAGTTAGAAAATTTTAAAAAATAAAACACATATTAAAAAAAAAAAAGGCGCTGAGTTTTTGTCTGAAATGAAGGAGTCAGAAAAGGAGTCCAAGATTGCTAGCCTACTTTAAATTATTCTGATCTGATCCCTGGCTGGAATTCGCCTTTTGGGCAACTGCTTTGCCTCCTATGATTCCAAATAGTAACTGCCAGTTCATCAAGTGTATCTTAACCTTCAAATGCTGAACTTACTCAAAGTGATGTCAGACTCCTTGAATGTAGGAATTGTATTATCCTATTTCTGTAGCTCTAGGTCCTCTCCTACTGCTAGCAATTCGTAAGAAATGCTTGAATTATGTAGGCTTATTTTATGAACTTTTGTGAGCAATCATTTAGTGTATTATTTGAACAGATGGTCTTTTTCAGCTATTTGCGTGTTAGGAATTATTTGACCTGCCCACAAGCAGGGAGATAAGAGCAGTGACAAGTAGTTAGGATTGTACTGGTACAGTTAAATTTAGGGGGATGGGGACTGTATGGGGTCTGTTGATACCTCTCACTTTCTTCATCATTTTATTAACAAGGAACTAAATAATTTTATCCTCATCCACTCTGTTCATCTTATTCTGTTTTAAATTCTTTTCAATCTAGAGAAAAATGAACATCATGTATAGCTGAGTGAGGTAGGAGGTGAATTGAAAAATTGAGAGCTTCTGAATATTTCTGTAGTCATGTCCTTGGTGCTAGTCAAATGAAAGAAGGTTCACATCTGGTATTTGGCTTGAGTGAGAGCCACAATTTCTCCACTGGCAGTGCTGCCAGCAGTATAGTAATTGTCCATGGGTTCAAGCACCTTCCACCACATTTTGTCATCGTGAAAATGAATGCAATCATCAGTAATTTATTATTCTTGTCAGATACTATAAATTAAGCAAAGTATTATCTTTTAAATGCAACAGAAGGGCTTGTTTCAGGCTATTGAAGGCATCTGTTATTTTTTAATTTTTATTACACTATTTTTTTCCAATTTTTAGGGAAGCAACGTGATGGAGGACCAGGATCTCTTGGAAATAGGAATCCTTAATTCTGGGCACAGACAGAGAATACTCCAAGCAATCCAGCTTCTCCCAAAGGTATAGTTTCTGTTATTATCCAGACAAGGGAACTAACTTAACATTATTTAAAACATTTTTTGAATGGAAATAAACATAACTCTTTACTGGTTTTGTAGACGTGTTTTTTGCATATGCAACCATGGCATAAAATAATGTCATTACATTAGACTCCCTTTATATAGATATAGTTGACAAAGCAAAGGAAAGTAAAATCTGTAATTTGAAGTGATACTGTTTCAGCTTTATTTTAATAATTTTTGTTTTTACAGCCTGTTGATAGACTGTTATTACGTATGTGTAAATAAGGCTGTTCATAAATCCTAGACTGTTTGTCTCTTACATAGCAGTTGCCCTGGAAATATTTTTCCCTTCATATAAGTATTCTTAAAACGTTGGATGAAAAATTGTTTTCCTAATACCTACCTTTTATGTTAGATTCAAAGATTTCCTTCAGGTTTCGTATTTGATTTTTTGCAGTGTATATGAATTTTGCTTCTCAGCTGTGGACAGAGTAACTTGCAATCATTTTTCTGATCATTTTTTGTGCTAGCCAATTGAAACTGTAGATTTTAAAATCGGCAGTAGAAAGAGATTACTCTTATATTCTGCTTACCAGAATATATCAGCGGAGGCTTCTACTACCATTCCAAACAAGAGAGACAGTGGACCTAGCATAAAATACCATTATTTTAATTAGGAAAGCTGTATAAGGAGAATGAATGAGGAGTAACAGACACCAGTAAGGCTTAGAAGGCTGCCACATATGATAGGGATACTTCATACAAAATGCTGGGACCAGAATAAAAACAACTCTGAAGTGCATTGAGCATTCTGGTAGCAGCATGTGTAAAATAACTGAGATAAAGATTAGTCCACTTGCAGCTTCGTATGGCTGGAGAATGAGAAGAGTTATTAAAGGACTTTTGAGTCTAGAGCATGAAGCTGATGTTGCTGGAAGAGGCTTTTTGATGCATCAAGGCTTACTGGATGGATGACTTGTAAAAGAGAACAAGGGTTTCTTTTGTATGGTGAAATCAGAAGTTGCTAAACAATATCTTTATCTGAAGGTGCTAGTCAATCCATACATATTACAATCTGAGTCTAGGCACTGAAACACGAAAAATCATTAAAGATAATAATTTTCCACATACAATATTAGACAAATGAGATAAAGGGTACAATTAATAGAGTATATAAAAGTAGCATTGGATGAATAACAATTGACATTAAAGATTTAACTGTGAATTTTTTAATTTTTCAGCAATGATATCATTCAAACAAAATTTTTGTAATCTTAATCCAAGCTCGTAGGTGATGATATACTTAATCCATTTTTCATACTTCTTAGAGAGATCAACTTTCATGTATTCTTGTTTACATTTTTCAAAATTAATAAATAGATTATTAATACGTCAGCATCTTCATGCTATCTGCACTCAGTGGCTGGTGTTTATGAGAATATTGTTAATATTGTCTGGTTTTGGAGATTTCACTAATGCTGAGACCAGATTTTGTTATAAAACTACAACAGAGGTATTTTTAAAGTTTTTTTAATGTGAGAAAGGACATAATCAAGATCTAGAGGTACTCTTGAAACCAGTTTAGAACAAGATGGTTATGCAGTTACTTGGAAGAATTCTGGATGACTTGAAGCATGGGCTGAATATGGTGAGGTAGTTTTCGGCATCTTCCCCGCTAAGCTAAAAAACCCCAGTCCTTAAGAACCATGTTTTTAACATGTCTTTGATGCAAAGTTGTTACACCAAAACAAAGGCAGTCCAAAGCTGAAGCTGTGCGTCGCATTTCTTCACTTAAATGATTCAGGAATGTAAAAGAGCTTACATAGTAAAAATACGTAATTTCTTATACAAAAGTGAGTTCTTTTGAAGGCACAACTGTCAGAATAGTTATTGTAAAGTAAGACATGCAGGTATTCCCAGAAATACCAAGGCAGTGGAAAGAATTCAGAAAGTTTATTTAGAAGTCCAGAAACTTACAAAATACCTGACAGTGCAGTTTATGCACTGGGAGAAAAAGGCAAGTCACCACCCTCTTAATGCCTCTTTATCCTCTGTGTTTCTCCCCTGCCTTTCCAAGGCCTCTGTACATGTCTGTTAGGGCTATTTCTCTCTGGCATAGGAGAGAGAGAGGTAACACAGCTCTCTCTGCCACCCCCTCTGGACTGCAGAAGGCAGAAAAAGCATCTAACCCTCTCAAGAAGGCACTTTTGCAAGCTTCGTAAGTGTAATCAACTATGTCTAGCTTTCCTCTTACAAATTCTTCTGAGAGGAAGCTATCCCTACAGTTATGGAGCCCAAAAGTTGGGATCATGGGTAGTTTTATCTAATGTAACTCACCCTTGCTGTATTTGCAGCAGCTTGTTAAAGACATAAAACACTTCCACATCCTGCAGTGAACCATGGAACATTTCTGTATATTTATTTATTTGTTGTTAAGTTCAGCTCTGTCATCATGCATTCAAAATCGTGTATACCATCTAAATACTTTAAGACCTCAAATGATAATTGGAGTCACACTAATTTGAATTCCATTAGATAAAAATTTTTTTAGTTCGTTTGTTTTGAACATTTACCTCTTTTCTGTTCCTCATTTAATTTAAAAATTGATGACTACTTGTTTTTTACTACTTAATAACTATGCTGATGATGTTATTTTTAGTTTTACTATTAATGTTTCTTGTCTTCAGATACTTTGTAGCTCAAATTTTGATGTGGAAGTTAAATGCTTTAAAAAACATCTATGGAACAACACTTCCTTAAAGCCATATACTCAGGCAGCACTGAATAAGCTTAGAGGGTAAAAATCAAGCAACAAATCTATTTTTAAAGCTCTTTTTGTTAGTCTGATCAATATTCAACTCTACAGCCTGGAAATGCAACAGGCATTTAGTAGCTGGAAGGAAAGGCTGTCTTTTTTACTCATAATTGCTGCCTTTCTAAAGAGTAATGAATTTCTATATGTCAAATACCAGTATCCTGATTAGAAACCATGCTCCAGAGCTTGAAGTAGTTTTAAATAGGGAAAAAACACCCACATATTTGTCTGAATATAGATAATTAATCATTGTAATTTCTTATGCACTATTTAACTGGTATAAAAAGATATGTTTACCTGGATTTCTCAAAATATTTTCCCATGAAGATTCTGTATTTGGGGAGAACATTTCATAAGAGGGTAAACTGATATGTTCACCAATAGGCAGATAGAGTTGAAATCTTTCAGTTAGAATTCTTCTTTTCAAAATATCCTTTATTTTTGTTGGATTAGAACTTGTAGCCCAAATTCTTATCTTGTACCAATATAATTTAGGTTATTCAAGTTTCACATTAATATTAACTGGAGCACTTCATGGCTTATTATTATTAGATAAGGTTAAGACAGTCCATTAGAAATATAATTTGTAAAGTTAATTCTTGAAGTGGAAATATTTTATACATGACATCAGTCTTAGAGCAAATTTCATAGCAGAGTTTAATATTGCATTTAAGATTTTTTGTGAAAAAAATGAAATCAGTAAATGTTTGGAGAAGGATTTTGTATGTTTTATTAAAATGAGAAAAGAGTTGTGTGCAATGTATGCTTAATTGACTAAGAAAATAATAGCAGTCATAACAAAATTTTAGTCACACTTAAGTTCCATAGGAGACTTAGGGAGCATTGTCAAGTTATTTCAGCATCCCAAACATATGTGCAAGTGACTTCTCAGTGGGTTCCTCAAAAACTAATATATTTTTTTAAAATAACAATTATCCTAGCTTATCTCAGAACTTTTCAAAAAAAAGGATTGGTTTTGTGTGGGATGCTCAGTGTATGGCTGCTTCTCCCAGCACATAATGGGAACACATTCTCTCATTTGACAGATGGAAGAAAGATGTTCGCTGAGAGCAGCTTTCTTCTGGCTTCAGAGCTATTCTTAAAGCAACTTGTTCCTTCCTGCACAGAGAGGTCTCAGTACAAAGCAAGTTCGGGAATAGCAGTGGTGTGCAGGCAGCCAGCCTCTTTCTTGAGTGCTTTGCAGAACTAGACAAGAAGTAGGATTTGATCAGGCTATGAGTACATGCTGTCTGTGAGTGGTGTTATATGAATGGTAAAGCTGTGCTTCCAAAAAGTGCTGGACGTATTACTCATATTTAACACTCTTCTGTGCAAGCACAGTAAGTCTGGCATTTAGGAAAACAGAACTACTGTGCATATGCTCATTAACTATACTGTGTATGTAACAAAGACCACATATATTGCTGTTCGCTTAGACACCCCAGAGCTCAGTAAGCTGATTTCAATCCTGGTGTTTAATAATCTCCCATTTAGCACTTCCATTCCTAAAGACAGTTTCCAAACTAAGAGATGCTGCAAAATGATGTCATAATGTTTATGACCCTTTCTGACTGTGACTCCTTGCTTCTGGCCTACTGGAAGTGAAGATGAAAAACAGGGGTCAAAGGAAGTGCTTTCTACCCTGCTGTTTTCCCTCCTTCTTGTGCCTCTGGGATTTACTTTCCTGGTTTAAAAGGAGACCATTCACATGCTCATTACACTACTTGCAAGACCTTTAACCATAAGGACAGAAAAAAAGTGTTAGAATCCAGCATAACACATGAATTTTTTAACTCTGAAATACAAATGTGTAGTCTAAATTATTTAAGTAATGCAGCACAATAGGAGTGGATCAGTAACACAAAACAGTTAGATGTGTGCACGCTATAGTTCAAGGTGTTTATTTCAGATTAGCTTTAGACTGTTTCCATAGACCAAATACCTCCTCTAGGCCTGTGCTTCAAAACTGCCTGATGAAAGGAGTATCACAAACATTCTCCTTCTTAACTGAGCCTATCAGTGAGCCACTCTAGACATGACATGCTGTCATTTATCTGTATAGTGTAGATAACAATAGCATGCTGCTGGTCCTGCCACAATTGCCCATACATATGTCTTACTTACCTTCCTGCTTCTTTTATACTTTCTTATTTGTGATTGACTCCGGAACATCTACTGATTAC